GGACTCCAGGATCACGACCTGAGCCGAAGGCAGTCGCTCAACCAACTGAGCCACCCAGGCGCCCTCGCTTTCTATTTTAAACAGTTTGGGTTGGTTGCCTCCCTGCCTTCCTGCTGGGTGTTTATAGTGAGGAAAATAATTGGCAATATTTGCACAGATGTGCTGGCACTGTGGCTCATCACGGGCACCTTTACCCAGGGGACCCTCCCTGCCCCCAGCCTCTCTCTGCCAGCCCGAGGAGCCAGCCTGAAGGGGGGTACCAGCAAGCTCCCCCTCCTTCCAGGAGCCTCAGGCAGAGCTGGGAAGCAGGAGGCCGAAAATGCCCCAGGCGCACCCAGAGGCAGGCCTCAGCAGGACCAGGAAGCAACCCCCCTCCGGCCCTCCAGCCCTCCTGCCCCTGCTGCGGGGACGGATCAGGAGGAGGAGGAGCCCGGGCTCCCCAGGATGGGCCCTTCCTAGGGGGCTGTGTAGGAGGGAAGCCCCTGGGGGCTCTGTTTCTGATTTCATTTCCTCCTGCAGAGCCTGCATTTGCTCCTGGGGTAAAGGAGGGGGGTACAAAGGTGGGGGAGTGGGACCGGGGTGAACATAGGAAATCATCTGGCTTCTTCTCCCCTGTCTCGAGGCCTGGGAGCAGCATTCTGGAGGGTGGGGAAGGAGGCGGGTATCATGAGGGCTGTGCGGTGGCCTGCCCGCCCGAGCGGGGCCTGGACTGCTGTGTGTGCTGCCCACTGCCCATTCTGTGGCCCAGCCAGGCTGGCCATGGGGCGAGACCGCACAGTGGGCAGGGCCAGGGAACGCTCCTCAGCCCCTGTGTCTCCTTCACCCCTTACACGTGTGTGTGCCGCATGTGTGGGTGCGTCTGTGAGTGTGGGTCTGCAGCATTGGGGCGCCTGTGGGCCGTACCTGTGTGTGTGCGTGGCTGCCTGCCTGGGCCTGCAGGGACGTGTGTGCACGTGTGTGGGTGCATGGGCTCGCACACGTGTGCTACATATGTGTACCGTGTACGGGCATGCATGTGCCTTGGTTTGGGTGCCCCCAGAAGTCCACCCGGAGAGAAGGATTCAGTTGCAGGTAGAGGACCCCGGAGAGCACAGTAGGGGGGGTGAGGAAGAAGGTGGGGGAAGGCAGGCAGCCAGGGAGGGCCATGATCTCCAGCAAACCACCTCTGTGGGCAGCTGAAGGTCAGTCCCACTGGGCAGTCCCGGGAGCCAGAGGTCTCCCATCCAGAGGGCAGAGAGCCCACCAACTCCCATCTGTCTCTTGTTAACGCCTCCTGATAGGACCGTTGGCTCTCTGGCACTTTGGCTTGTCTTTGGCCTAGTGTCACAGAGTTGCCCGGGAGCAGCCTTCTGGGTGTGGAGCTAAGTGCTGAGGGTCTGCGCTGTGTGGTGGGTGTGGCAGGTGCGGTGACGGGCCCCTCGGGGCCCCTGCAGGAATGATGGGCTTGCTCCCTTCCCCAAACAATATCCTAGGAGCAGCACCTAACACACCTCTGGCGCTAATCTCTGTCTCAGGAGCATCCAGCCCACACAGCACGCGTGTGTGCGAGCAAGCAAAGCTCCCTCTTGCCAGGAGGCACGTACGGGGGTGGGGGTGCTTCTCCTACTTCCCCCAGGGCCCTCCATGCACAGTCATCTAGAAGCCGAGCTGGTCCCTGGGCTGGTCCAGTAAGGCTCCTGGGGGCCTAGAAGTGAGAGGATACTGGAGATTTGGTGCCGAGCCTGGGGCCTGAGGCAGAGATGGCTTCTTCCCCGCACTGCCCTGGAACAGTGCTCAGGAGGGAGGTACGAAGGACTCAAGAATGGGCAGATCACGCTGGGGCGCCTGGGTGGCTCAGTCATTAAGAGTCTGTCTTCGGCTCAGGTCATGATCCCAGGGTCTCTATCTATCTGTCAAATAAATAAAATCTTTCAAGATTTTATTTATTTATTTGACAGAGAGAGACACAGTGAGAGAAGGAACACAAGCAGGGGGAGAGGGAGAGGGAGAAGCAGGCTTCCCGCTGAGCAGGGAGCCCGACACGGGGCTCGATCCCAGGACCCTGGGATCATGACCTGAGCCGAAGACAGACGCTTAACGACTGAGCCAACCAGGCGCCCCAAATAAATAAAATCTTAAAAAAAAAAAAAAGAATGGGCACCAGGGGAGTGGGGCTCCTTGGGGCCCCCCAGGCCCTGCATGCACTCCTGATAGCTGCAGACAGCTCAGTGAAGCCTCACCCTTCCCCCTGACCTGCACGCTCTCGAGCCTAGAAGGGATTTTTGTTCAGCCATGGGCGTTATCTTGTCTTGCATGGAATCCGGCGCACACTACCACTCTGCATCCAGGCTACCCTGAGCAGAGAAGTCCTGGGATAGGGGGGGTCCCCTGACCACCCCTCCTCCTATGGCCTTCTTGAGAAGACTGCTGAGGGCCCAGAGCAACAGCCGTGGGGCTGGAGGTCAGTCTTGGAGGTCAGTGGGCGGCGGGCAAAGGTGGAGGCAGACGAGGACACTAAGAGGCCCAGGGGGAACCCAGTGTTACAGAAATGTTTATTACAAGGATAAATATATACAATAATGGGATATTAAAACTGCTGATCCTGGGCCTGTGGGACTTCAGGGGATGCAGGGAGTGGGTCAGGAGGACGGTGGGACAAGGTGGGTCAGTGGAGGATCCACAGCCCTGGGCTCTGGATGCGGTCTGGGAATGACCAGGTCCCCAGATCCTGCACAGTGGGGTCCTTTGCTTGAGCTTGGGCAGACCTGCCCTCCCAATGTACTGCCCTCCTGGCTGCCTGGATGCCTCTAAAATTCTGGATGTTGCCTAGTGGCCGGGGGTGTTGAGAGCAGCTCTGGGTAGGGACATCAGTGAAGGAGGCTGAGCAGGGGCCCACCATTGACCCCCAGCATTCAGAGGTGGGAAAACATCACTGGTCTTTGAGAGACATGCTGCCCAACCTCCTTCTCTGAGTTGGTAGAGCCCTCTGTAGTTTAGATGCTTGAGGCAAAATCCAAATAGCTTGGGAGACTCCTGCCATGTCCCTGTTCCTGAATACTAAGGATTATGGGAAAACGAATCCCCTAGATAAATTTTCCTCGTCCCTCTAGACCTTGCTCAAGGGACACCTCTTCCAGGAAGCCTTCCGAGCACTGCTGGCTGCTCAGCAGCGATGCTCGTCCTGTATCCCTCCCCTCATATATCCTCACTATGTCCCAGGGTCTCTCCTCACTGCTTTCCCACAGGGCTGGATCCGGGGCCCTATGCTTCATGGCTGGTGGGCTGATGACACTCTCTGCCTGGGATGGCATTAGCTCAGGGCCACCCAGGGGGAGCCCAGAAAAGGAAGATGGGGTGGGGACCAGGGGTGGAGTGGGGAGGCCCATGTGGCTTGGCAATGTTTCAGGACTCTGTCCTGACATCTGCCTTTTGTTCCTACACAAGGAAGCTCAAAGAACCTGCCTTGGCTGCACTTTACATGCCTGAGAGGCTTCTCTATCTAGAATCTACGATGTCTTACAAACCCACAGGAGAGGGCCAGAAAGAGCTAGGGGGCCCCTGTCTCTGTGTATTTCCCTCCTGGTTGGCTGGGGTGTTGGCCTCATGGGGCCAGAGAGTGGAGTTGGGGACGCTCAGATTGTCCCCAGAGTGGAGATGTCTATTAGAGGAAGGAATTGGGTCAGACCCCCCGCCCCTGGGGTGTCCTTTTCTCTTCCGGTAGCCTCCTGCTTTTTCTCGGCAGAGAGGCTGGCAGAGCTGGGGAGCTGGCTGCTGGCAGGGCAGGCGACCCCCTTGGGGGTGGGCAGAAGAGGCTGAGCTCCCAGCCAGCCTCAAGCCAGAGGTAGGTCCTGCCTGGATGGCTCGGTGGGCAGCCCCACCCTCTCCTGCTTCCTGACGTAGCCTGGGCTAGAGGGTGGGGCCCCTGGCTCTGCTCTGGGGCGGGGGGCCAGGGACCAGAAGAAGGGAGGGTAGAGCCCTGCAGGCTGCAGCCTGGGAGGCCTCCCCCAAACAAGCTGGGCTGGCAGGTTGTCTTGAGGGGCCCGTGCTCTCCCGAAGGTCTGCAACCCCAAGCCCCAGTGCCTCCTCAGGTGCAGCAGGGGCGTCAGGATGCCAGGCCCTGCTGGCCACTAGCCATGGCCATTCTGGGACATGTAAGCTGCCAGAGTCACCACCACGGCCACATAGAGACCGGCGCCCACGGCGATGGAGAGTGTGGCCAGGAAGAGGGCCCTGCGGGAGGTGGTGCTGGCCAGGCGGAAGTCTCCCTTGGAGATGGCCTTGCTGGTCTAGGGAGAGAGAAGTGCTGGTGAAAGGGATATCCCCGAAGCGGACAGCACAGCCCCAGCCCGCTGGGCTCCAACCCCCTCCTGCACACGCCCCACCCCCCATCTTTGGTCAAGCCCTCGGGGGGGGGGTGGGAGGGGGCTGGAGCGGATGCCCTGCGCCCCTCCTGCTCTCACCCCCTGGGAGAAGTAGAAGGCAGCGATGCCCAGGGGCCAGAAGCAGCAGAGCATGGAGAAGATAGTAAGGCCCAGGTGGTCCCTGGGGGGCAGCGCCACGAAGTTGTCTTCACTTTCACTGTCTGTGGAGGTCACATCACTCTGCAAAACACAAGTGGGCTTTTGTGACCAGACCCAGGATCCCCGGCGGCAAGGATGTGTCCTCTGCTGCGGGTGGGCGTGCAGGGTGGGCTCCGCACTCTCTACCCAAAGCCTTGGCTGTGACTGCTGATTCCCTCCTTCGGAATTAGCACAAGCATACAGAGAAAGAGTGTGAGTATCTGTGTACAGGTGTGCACATCATCGGATGGTACTTGTGAAAGAAGAGGAAGAGTCTCATTGCCCAGTGACCAGGAGATTGAGTTATAAGTGATGGGAGAAGGTACAACGGGATACCATGGAGCCCTTAAAGATCGCCTTGTAGACAAACGTTAAATGATGTGGAGCCATACTGAAGTACGTTGCTTAGAGAGAAAAATCTGGTGATAAAATGGTGTACAGCGAGATCTTTTGCGGGGAGTAGGGTGGGAGAAAAACATTGAATGAAAAAAGACTAGAACCTCATCTACTAAAATAATAATATTCTCTTCCAGTGGTTTTCTGTATTTTTAAATTACTTATATAATTAAGAAAACAAGAACAATAAATGCTTTTAAAAAATTAAGTCGTCGGGGCACCTGGGTGGCTCAGTCGGTTAAGCGACTGCCTTCAGCTTGGGTCGTGGTCCCAGGGTCCTGGGATCGAGCCCCACATCGGGCTCCTTGCTCGGCGGGAAGCCTGCTTCTCCCTCTCCCACTCCCCCTGGGATCATGACCTGAGCTGAAGGCAGACGCTTAATGACTGAGCTTCCCAGGCGCCCCTTGGGACTCTGCATTTTCAACACATGCACTCACCTCCTCCTCCTCCTGGTCGTTCTCCTGGCCCTGCAGCTCCTCTTGAACCCCGTAGGACACGGTCTGGATGGTGATATCCTCTTCTACTTGGCCAGGTTCTGTGGACTGCTCCGCGGGCCCAGCCTGGAGCTCCCTGTTCTCTGTGAAGCTGGTCTCACAGCTGCTTGCCCTGGGCTCCTTGACCTTGTCCCTCCCCAGGAGGCAGCTGGGCCTGTACCAGGCCTCCACGGCCAGCTGCAGGGACCCCGGGTCCAGGAGCTGGTGGGTGCGAGCAGAGCCAGCACCACCCAGGAGGTAGGAGTAGAGCTTCTCCTGGCATGACCAGCTGGGCGAAGCCTCGGGGTAGGGGTAGCGGCCATGCAGCGGGGCGGGGCTCCGAGGCAGCAGAGGGTTCTGAAGTTCACTCAGACTCTCCATGGTTCCGGGGGGCAGCTCCAGGGAGGGGAGCCTGGGCCAGCCGAGCGTCCTCAGAGAGCCTGCTGGGCGAGCAAGACAGACAGACGCTGAGTCCCAGGTGCCAGATGCAGGGCTGGAAGCATTTAAGAGCACAGGCCCTCAGACCCTGCCTTTGCCACCAGGCAGCTGTGGGGCTTCCAGCTGGCTACTTCTCTTCTGAGTGTCCTTTTCTTGGTCTACACAGTGGGCACAGCAGCAGGACTTACCTCACAGAGTTGGCTCATTCATCTATCCTGCGAACACATAATGGCTGAGCGTCAGCTCCCTGCCGGGCACCATGCAGGGGCTGGGGACACGGAGGCGGGAAAGGCAGGGAGCAGGGAGGGGGAGGAGGATGCACACTGTCTTCACGGAGCTCACAGAGGTGAAGGACAGAGAGGGGTGTAAGAACGAGCAAGGGACAAAACGGACACGAAGGTACAGGGAAGGCTTGGCGCCGAGAGCCGAAGGAAGAAACCCAGTTGGCAAGGCAGGGGGAGGGAGAACACGTTTCATGCAGAGGCCAGATCAAGGATGCTCGCTCCGAGAGCCTGGGAGAAGGCTGGTGCTTCTAGGGGTAGAGAGGGAGGGGTGAGCTGGGGTGTGGGGCCAGAGCGTGCAGCCCTGTTTAGACCTAAGAGGGCTTCAGGGGTCTTGGCAGGAGTGATAGGATGCAATCTGGGTCCAGGAGTCATCCCGGCGCTGTGTGCGGGGAGTGGCTTGGAGAGGGATGGGCTCACTGCGACACCCATAGGGGGCTTTGCCACGGCTTCAGGTCAGCTGAGGACAACTGGAACTCAATAGTGGGGAGATGCTGACAGGACATGGCAGCAGGTGGGATACTGGGCTGAGGGAGGATTTGTTCAAGGGTTGGATGGGACTGTGCTTAGCTCAGAGCTCAGCACAGGCCACAGGCTCACAGCTGTCCATTCTTCCCAGGGGAAGATGCTTCTCCCCAGTTATGGTCTTAGGGGGATGCACCTTAGACTAATCTCCCCTCTAAGGCAGATTGTGGTTTTGGGAAATCCTGTGGGGTCTAAGGCAGGGCCTCCTGAGCATTAAAGTCTAGACTTGTACATCCCAGCTAGAAGTGTAGATATGCTCATAGGCTAGTGTGTGGACATCCTGGAGGGCTACCTCTTCCTCCTTCAGCCAGCCCTGAGCCCCTGGGAAGGGTGCATAGTAGGTGCTCAGGGCTGGCTGAAGGAGGGAAAGGCAGCCTGTGAATGTGGCTACCACAAACCTACACATACTCTGGGGTGTGGCAGGTAGAAACGGGATATGGAGAGAGAAGAGGGGCAGGCCTGGTGGCCCCAGGGACCCTGCGCTCTCCCTCCCAGGCCCATAGTAGTTGAAGGGTGACAGGATCATGTCTTGCCCTGGATTGATAATCTGACGAAAGCAGAGTTGGTCCTACCCTTGGTACTTTGGGCAAATAATCATGCCCTTCTGGGTTTCCCCAGCTGTAAAGTGCAGATGATAATTCCAGCCCAACCCACAAGGTTGTTCTGAGGATCCAGAGATGGCCGAGATGTCATTGCAGATTATAAGTAGGAGGGGCTGCTGTGCTTCCTTCTGGGCTCCAGTCTTTACCCACCCAGGGTCATTTCTGGCCTGATGGTAAAGGGAAAAGTGTGGGGAGGGATTTCAGCCCCCAGGGATGGGTTTGTCTAGGCCCCCTCCCCAGTCCCACTCCCCATCAAGAATCCACAGCCAGAGGCTGGCCATTTCTCTTTCTGGCCCAAGAAAAGTGGCTGGATTCTAGAAAGCTGGTTTTTTGGGAAACCTGCAGACGGATCAGGGCCCCAGGAATAACAGGGAGTGGGACAGAGTGAGGGGCGGGGGAGGGCCTGGCAAGACTGGAGGGGCATTGAGGGTGAGTCCATGGGCGGGGCGGGGGGGGGGGCAGCATCCCCTGGGTGGCCTGCTAGGAGGGAGGAGGGAGGAGGCTGCTTGCCTGGGGGCAAAGAAGCAAGAGGAGGCTGCCCATGCCTCAGAGGCTCTGAGCCCTGACAAACGTGGCCTCTGGGGCTGGGGATCCAAGAATGTCGAACAGAATCATGGAGGGACCTAAAGAAGGGTGTGTGGCCCAAGTGTCCAACTCCTCCCCCAGGGAGGGCACAGATGGTGTGGGAGACGCTGGGCTGTGCTGCCCCTGGGGGCTCTGTGGGTGCACGAAGCAGTTACAAGTCCTACCTGGGTTGTCACCCAGCTGGGGCAGAAGTTTCTGCAGAGACAAGACAGCGGTTCTTGGGAGGAGTGGAGCTCACACGGGCAGGGCCTTCACTACTTCTCCCCCATCCTGCCTCTCTGGGGTCAAACATGCAGGGAGCCATGGGGACTATAGTGAATGTGCCCGCCCTCCTCTGGGCAGATTCCCAGCAGGCCTGGTCTCTTCTGACCCCCGAGGGCAGCTTTTGAGTCCCTGTTCCAGCCTCCCCCACCCCCACCAGTGGATGTGACTCACAGATATGCAGTCCAAGGGCCTGTGACCCTAAGGCTCATTGGTTTGGGAGTCAGGTACACTGGGCCTCCATCTCTGACCCACCCCCATTAGCTCTCTGATCTGGCACCTCGGTTTCCCTATCAGTAGTAAGGGGGGTGGGATTAAATGGTCACTGATGTCGATGGTGGCACCAGGGCTCCATGATCCCGTAGCCTCAAGGGGCCCTGCAGAAGTGAACTCCCCCACTGCCTGCCCCGTCAAGACTCAGGGATTCACGAGCCCGCTCAGAACCCAGTGACGTGCCACCTTCCCTATCGTGGCCCCTCGAGCACCCCGAGGGAGGCAAAGGGAAGGCAAGGCATCTCCTTGTCCCATGGACAGTGGAGTTACAGCATCATCCCCTGGCTTCCCAACGCCCCCTGGGCTGCCACAGTCCGCTCCCTGCCCTCCATCTCGCCCACCCTGTGGGATTCTAGGACATGGCTCCCGAAGGTTCCCTAGCCTCTCCTCCAACTGGTCTTAATTAATGCCCCCTCTGCTTACAGCTCCAAGGGTCCCTGTCACCATCTGTGTGAGCAGAAGTATGTAGGGGCATTTCGGTGGGGTTGGGTGGGAAGGATCAGCCCCAGGCCCTCCAAGCAGACTAATGCATCAATGTCACCCTGCCCTATGCCCTGAAGGAGGGATAGGAGCCCTTGCCTTGGCCAGTCACCTGTCTAATTCCCCAGAAGGAAAAGAAGGATACTTGTGGCCAGGAATCAGGCCCTGGAGCTCTGGAGACTTGTAGGTGCATTTGCAGGGCATTTGTCCAGGGCAGGGCAGGGGCAGCTGGGTCCCCACTCATCCCCCTGCTCTTGCCAGCCATCCCCTCTTAGTCAAAGTATACCCCACCGAGCTACTGAAACCCAGCCATGCAGCCTTTCCTGGATTACACTCCCCTCCACCGCACTCCGATTGTGCCTTTGGGCAGAGCGTCTCAGCTTCGTGTACAAAGACGTATGATCCCAGGTTTCCCCAATAGGGACAAACTAAAAGCCACCTGAATGCCCAACAATGAGGGACAAGTTAAATAAATTACGGTACAGCCCGATGGTACAAGGCCTTCAAACGGGTTTACAAAGAGGAATGACATGAGAAAAATACTGCAGCTTGAGGGAGAAGGAAGAAAAGAAAGTGGTTTGCGCATGTAATCTAACTCCACCAAAACGTCCACAGTGATTATCTCCAGCGGTGGTTGCACAGGTTTTCATTTTCATTTTTACACCGTGTTTTTTTCCGTTTCCTGTATTTATTTTTACATTGAGCATGTACTTCTTTTTTTTTTTTTTT